CTTACCCATCATTGGCTAACCAGCCATCTTTTGGGGCCAAACAGTGAGACGCAAGGTGTATGAGCAGTGTCCTCAAAAGGGTCAGTTTAGGGTTAAGCGCGGGGGGAGGGGAACACAGATGGCTGGACAGCTTTGTGGCAACACTCCCTGATATCTGCTTCTTTCCTAAAATTCTTTTTCCTAAATTTTTTTCCTTAAAATTCCTTAACTTTGGAAATCTGCATTTCAATAAGTTTAGCAGGTGATTCTAATGCAGGGGTGCTTGAACTTCATTCTGAGAAGAACAATACAGATGCCACAAAGTGACAGTAGATAGGAGGCCTCCTGGCCAGCAGGCGAGTTTAGTTTATGCCTTACAGTGTTTTATTAAAAGCTGATTTAAATGGCCAGCTCACTGGGTGTTACGTTGATCTGCTGAGACCAGGCTATCCTGACTCCTGCAGTTTATTCATATTGCCACTAGAGGGCGAAATCAGCAGCGGGTAGCTGGGCGTCCTTGGGACCCAAGCAAGTTGGAGAACCTGATTTCCTGCTGACATCACAAACATAATTAATGACTATAGTCAACTCATTTTGAACAGTTTATCATTTGGGGACACATGGTGAAATTGTTTTTTCCACAGATACAGATGTGATTGAAGACCCATGAAAGACTTTCCAAAAGGAAACTGTTGGAGTGTTTTCCCCTAGCACCCGCAGTTCCTGGTTGATAAATGTTTGTTGAATGAATGTTGACTCAAGTTCCAAGCACAATGCCTGGTATTTAATAAGGGCTTTATGAAACGTTTGATCCCTTCTCCTCCTTCCTCTTCAATAGTAATCTGTCTTGAACCTTAACCCTTTTTATACATCTCTTAGAGTTCCTACTAAAAAAAGGGTAAGGTGTTATAAAGATACGAAATATATAAGAAAAATGACATATCTTTCTTGCCTATCAGATTAGGAAAGATTAAAAGGCTTGACCCAGGTGTCAGTGTAATACAAAGATATATTACCACGGGTTCTGTTATGCACTGTGAGAGGGTGTAAACTAACCTAATATTCCTGGAGGGCAGTTTGGCAATGTGTATTTAAAACATGCATAACTTTTGGAATTAATCCTAGGAGATATCAAACATGAGTATTCTATTAGGTAAACTAGATTCTGCTGAAATTATTAAAAAAAAAATCCTCAAATCTCAATGGATTAACTAACAAAGATTTGTTCCTTTACCCCACTACTAAATCAGAGGATGCCAGCAGGTCTTGCTCCTTATGGTTGCTCAGGGACCCAGGCCACTGAAGACTCTATCTTGACCTATGCTCTCATTATCAATAGCACAGGGGAAGGAAATGTTGAGAATCAAGCACTAGCTTTTATTTTTTAATTTTTATTATCTTTTTAAACTTTGTTGGGAAACAGTCTGTTTTTTCCAGGACTCATCAGATCCAAATCAAGTTGTTGTCTTTCAATCTAGTTGTTGAGGAGGGCACATCTTACTAGCCCATGTGGGAATCGAACCAGCAACCTTGGTGTTAAGTGCCTGCGCTCTAACCACCTGAGCTAACCAGCTGCCCCCAAGCACTAGCTTTTAAAGTTTCCACTTAGAATATTACAAGTCATTTTGCTAACGGAAATTGGCCAAAGCAAGAAGAAAGCCATGCCTAATGCAAAGGGTGGGAAAATGCAATCCTGCCATGTGCCTGAGAGGAGAACTCAAGTATTTGTGAACTGCCTTAATAACCACTGTAGGCATGAAGATGTATGTATGAGATTATCAGTTAAAGTTGCTATCTACTGCAAGTCACAGAATCCCAAATGCAGTGGCTTAACAGTAGTAATTTATTTTTCTCATGCAGTAGAGAGTCTAGATTTAAGCAATCCAGGGCTAGAAGAGCTATTCTAGGAAATCTTTCAGAATTCAGTCCCCTTCCAGCTTCTCCCTTCATCATCCACAACTTATGGCTTTCATCCTAATGTTCACAATATGGCCATTGCATCTCCAGCCATCACATCTGCGTTTCAGGCAGAGGGAAGGTGGAAGGACAACCATAGCTTTCCTGGAGTTTTATCCATCAGTCAGTCCTCCACTTATATCTTGTTAGCCAGAACTAGGTTGCTGCCACAACCACTGATGGAGAGTTTGGGAAGGTGGAGAGGTTTTTTAACTGGGGATTTTGCTGTCCTGAACAAAATCAGAGTTATATACAATGCTGACAATTAGAAACAACTAAATATTAATCTTCACAAATATTTTCTTGAGGTATAACATATATGCAATAAAGAAGTCAGATCTAAACTTTACAGCTTGATGAAGTTTTACATATGTATTCACCTGTATAAGCATCAACCAAATCAAGATAGAGCATATTTCCAGCTCCTCAGAACGTTCCCTTGCACCCTTTCCCAGAAAAAAAATCCCCCAAGAAAGATAACCACTCTTCTCACTTCTGTCATCATAGATTACTTTTGCCTGTTCTTGAACTTCATAGAAATGGAACCATACAGTATGTGTCTTTGGTGTCTGACTTCTTTTGCTCAACCAATATTTGTTATTTTCAATTTTATGTCAGTTGTGGCATACATAGAATAATATAGATTCATTAAAATCAATAATGTTAGAACAGTATTGCTTGGCATGAAAAGATGTCCTTGATTTATTACTAAGTTTTTATAAAGATTACAAAAGTCTATTTTACATAAATGGACTAATTTGTGAGAAATTGTATATATATTAATACATCTTATAGGCTTATAGAGAAAAGTTTGAAATAATGCACACCAAAATGTTATTACTTGTTATTTCTGGGTGTTAGGATTAACATTGTTTTAACTTTCTCTATGTTCTTCTGTTTGGTTTG